ATGACCTCTGAAACGTTGGTAAACATCGACCAGACTACACAGCGCAACAACCCAGAAGACAGAAATCTTCATACTCACTGCTGTGAAAACCTCAAATCTTACAATGCTAGAATATTTTCCGCATACCAAGGCGATATACACCTCGTTCCCGAAACACTACATGTGGTATCGAAGTCGATAGAATAGTACGTTTTTGTCAGAGTTCTTCGATACCTGGGATTTGAGATAGAACTGACCAGCTGACATGTTACTTCTGACCCGGATTGGCAGAACTGTTAATAAAATTTAAAAAATGCGTTAGTTGAGACTAGCCGAGTGCGGATCTCTGATGAGGCCCCTAAATTCGGCCGGGGTGTGATACCTAATTGTAGAAACGTCGTTCACAATATTTGAAATTTTTAGATCGCCATGGCTTTTTTTTCGAGCCATTTGTAATGACAGTTATATCTGTTACTCTATTCCCAGTGCCTTGAAGGAATTAGCTGAAACGTTTGTAAATAATAAAAAGGGCAGAAAAAGACGAATATACAGATAGTTTGACGCATTTTTACTGTTTCAGGATAGTGTGTGTGTGTGGTGCATGCTGCCTGACATACAGGGGTATATCTGCAACAATATTTCAGCCGTCTCATTAATCAAATTGCAGGCCGCTGAGGAGCGCAGTATGTTTGCCTGTGTTGAATGTAACACTGGTGATGTACAGCAACGATATATCTTGCTTACCTGGGCGACTGCTTGTCTGCTCGCCTGCTGCAGTCGTCGTTCGTTCGTCCTTTGCTCTTGTTACTCCAACGAGCGCCTCTCGAGAGCGTCTCGCTTGCCTTGTGATTGCCGTTTCTTTGTACCTGGCATGTGTGTGACGAGCTCCACGCGATTCTGCAAACAATTAACTGAGTACAGAGCAGTGCCATCTATTTCGCGTCCAGTAACTTGGAATGTCCCCCAAGATGTATTTCTGTTATCATAAACGGGCATTTCGATGGATGTCTTCTTACTTGTTGCGCCGCGTAGCCTGGTGGAAGCTTCGCTGGTACTTGCCGCCTCCATCATCAGGGCGATAGGTCATCGTACGCCACCTAACAACTGAGAAGAAAGCCACGCTCATATTACCGCCGCGACAGCATAAAATGTCACAAATATTATTTAATTAAACTTCACTAACCTGCTGATCTTCATAACGGAGGAACGTTGTGTTTTCTTTGAGGTACGTGCCTTATTTTTAAATATTGGACGCCCATCGTTTGTGCCGTTTCTTAAAAAGTCTCGTTACTAAATTGGTTTACGTTTTTCACGTTCTGTGTTATAGACCTTAATATTTTTCTAAAGTCTGACTTCTAATTAGTGACTCATCCGCCGTAGGACCATTCAGGTGTGTTTAAACCAAAATAAATTGATGCTGTGATAAGATGTCTGAAGCGGTAATACCATGCGTCAGGAACATGTTCAATGTTATTTAGTATGGCATCGACGTGGTCATGATACTCTCGTTTAAGTTTAATTACGTGCGGTATGTGTTACAGTGCTACAATGCCAGCACAGCTCATGTGTGAAATTAATTGCTGCAAAGTATGAGTTATTAAATGTTTCATATTTGTTAAATGAATTGAATTATTCCTTTTGAAAACTAACAAATTTACTTTTTAGACACATCAATTAAAACTATAATTAGATTTAGTAATAACGCATCATATTAACTGTTTGAAGTTGAAACTTGTTCATATATATATATATATAGGCTATAACGATTCTCCTGAAGTTAATGCCGAATTTGGTACACATGAATGAATTAAATTGCTTCTTGAGAAATATCATTGGACAAACAATGTTTAAATTTTCATTCATAAACAAAATAGCTGCAGCTCATGGAAATTGTGAATTTATGCCGACGTTAATGACATCGTGGGTAATATTAACTATGCAAGTGACCGAATCTAATTTGTATGTTGATGTTTATGCAGAATGATAATTTATTCAACGAGAATGGTGTTTTCTCTTTCTGTTCTTTGTTGTTCTAGTTACCGCACTATTTTTAGGAGTTAATTGTAAATATAAGTTAGCGTTGCAAATACATATATGTTATTAAGAAGCTAATCACTTTGTATAGACATAGATCATTTTATTTTATTTCTTTAAATATGTATCATTTTGAAAAATGTCGTAAATGAAGGGGATCATAATAAAGTCTGTGTTTTGTACGATTTGCTCTTTTTGAGTAAATCGACAGAACTAAAATTAAATTCTACGACATAAAGCACCAAATAAAATCAATCGGAACCCATAGAACTTGTTCTTAAATAAACACGCGGAGAGGCAAGGACATCCCTGTTATGTGTTTATGTTTTTTATATAGCGTGATGAACGTATAATAAAACTCATCTATTTCTGTTCTATTATGGATTAATAGTAAAAAAAAATCGTGTGCTGTCCGGTCGGGAGACGCTTGAAAGCATAGAGGTGATTTAAATACAATGTATGTTTCCTTAATCTATTTAAGGAGTTAAGATATTATATGGAATCGAACGTTTACTGTGGATTATGAATAGGGATGGACCCAGGTAGAAGTCATCTGACCTATTTTGAGGGAGTATTAAAACATTGTCTGCAGGGACTGAAGAAAAAGGAGTAATCTTACAGGATATGTGACCTCCAGGGTGGGAATGGAAGCAGAGGTTGTGACCACGGGGATATGACTGCGATCATGTAGTCACACCCCAGGTGCACGCCCGTGTTGCTGTCACTGTAACCTCGTCGAAGTCTGGCTTTTGAGGTATGTATTGCCCGAGCTTCCCCACACTAATCCCAAGCATTAGTCGGTCTATTCTGAAAGCTGACCTACATGAGGTCTTGCTGTTTGCGTTAAGCTCATTTGTCGCTTCAGAGAGTGGTCTCTGACTACGTGGGGTACGAGCCAGGACTGGTGCAGTGTCTCCTGGTTATAAGTCAGGATACGGGAACCCACTTTCCCCCCTTTTCCTTCTCTTATGGGCCAACCGACGCTCGTAATTTCCCTATCCGCCCCTTTATTGAAACAGATGTTTTTATATAGGTATTGCTCTGAGAATACAGAGAGATTTGTAGACGACTGCAGTAGGAGACTGAGCGTTGATCTACGGCATGGTTTGAGGCGTGGCAAAAGCAGTGGGCCTGGGGTCGAATCCAGTGTAAGGTATTATTGAAGTTTGTGTGTGAGAATAGATAATTCGTATAATTACTAATTTGCAATTCTTGCCATTTGTAACATATAGAACTAAGTATTTAAAGTCAATTCGGAGAAATAATATTTTTTCCGTAACTTCACAGATTTTTGTCCTTGTTGGTAGAGGCTCGAAGGTGGGTGGATCGTGTGTTGAAATGAAACCCTGAAGTGGATTTACGGTTAGGTTACGTTAGATCTGAGGTTCACACGGATATGACTGTGTCCATGTTAGTCCGGGTTTTATCGCCATATGGACTTGTGATGGGTACCAACGTTTCGGCAGAACGTACTGCCTCCATTTGCGAGCCTTATACAGATTGCACCTTTTAAAGAGAAATTGTAATTTCTGTACCGTGTTACCAGTCGGTGTATTGTTGTCTTATTCGTTACTTTATCGTCAGGATACGAATTGCTAAATGATTCAGGAACAGCGACAGACGATTTCGATGTACTGTTTTCGTGCCTGCACAGCTTTTGCGCGGTTGCCTAGCGACCAGGTCATCGGGTTAGAAGTGGTGAGATTGGGGAGTCTACTACACCTGGTTGGACCTGCTTATGATTTAATTTTTGTGCGTTGACGCTATTGTTTTTGGGTATCATCTGGAATGGTAAAACCAATTCTGTATCCTTTATAGGTATTGGTAACTATGTGTACCACCTACTGTAACGTTCAGTAACTCGGTGTGTTACCACACAGTCTCTTTAGGTACTTCATTTATTTCTCAGAATAAACAGCAAAAGTTTTTTAAATGTAATTAAACTGTACACTTTTCAGCCGTAATGCAACGTGTTTTATTTGCGGTAGGAACCGAATTATTACTATGTAGACTATATTTGACATTTAAATTGTTAACGTGTCGCGAATAAGTGAATAAACGGATTATGTTGTAGTGGGTTGAATAATCTGTACGTTGGTAGCATAAAGATAAGATTTTAAGCACAGATAACGCCATTTCTGCTGCATCTCAAAGCGAGTAGGCCTTACTGCTCGTATCGCGTGTTCCCTGCACTGCCTCGGGTTTTCGCTTTTATCACTGGAGCCGGGCGTTTATTAAAATCCCATGCCAGACCCTTAATGAGCTCTGTGAATCTGCAAGTCGCGTCTCTTCGCCAGCAGTCGCAAGTCTCTATCCCAGTTTCATAATCAACGACGAATTTGAATTGAATCAAATACAGAGCAATTCATAAAAGCATGTCTGCTAATGTATGAATGATATGGTCATGATTTTCACCACACAAACTTGAACAGGGATCGAATTTTTAAACCACTGTCGGAATTTAATTATATGTAATACAGGGTGATTCTGAGAAATATATGTTCTTATATATAAACAGTTCGGAGAAGACTTTCATAACACAAACGTGAAGCCGGTTCTCTGTTTTTCAAAATTTTTACCAGAATTTAATTACGTGCAATACAGGGTGATTTAGAGAAGTATGAAATGTTGGATCCGATATCTTCGGACATGCCTATTATGTTGTCCGAATTCTAAATTATTACAGGATTTTAACATAGGGTCATGAAAATAGTGTTTATAAGCCTTCGTGGATAATTTAAACGCTGAAATTTCCAGACTAGACCAAAAGCAAATAATTTTTTTCGAAATGATGATGTAATTTTATTTATATGTAGATCTAATTCAGAGTAATAAATACAACTATATATCTTGAGTGATAAGATAATTAGTAAATTGCTCATGAATAATGATAAGAAAATTTAAAGTAGTAAATACACATAACCTTTAATATTATCTTATTAAGGCCAAAAATCCCTCAATGACGTTACCATGGCAACGGTTATACGACACATAAAGCTCGGAAACCAAGCACGATTGACCAGCACAAAGTACAAACCCGTCTTTTTTGGCGATGATGTTGCAGGAGCTAAGGTCACAAACCCGAAAACTCTCCTAGGTTTGAGTCTTGGTGAAGATATAGGGTTTAGAGCTACTGCTGCTGCTGATAATAATAATAATAATAATAATAATAATAATAATTATTATTATATTCTGATACTCAACAATACGTTTCGACTGATGGGGTCTATGGCTTAGCTTTCGGGCGGTAAAAATTGATAATAAATATGAACGTCTGTTGGATTTCCGAGCACTGCGGACTCTGTTATAAATAACAAGCTCTTTGCAGTTGAACGTGACAGAACTTGACATATGCAATGTCTGCAACTTTTCCGTGAATTGTGTTAATCCTACCAACACAACTGTAGTTTATGGCTCGTTAACTGCTGCGAACATCATCAAAATCACCACTAGTTTCTTACTGGTCCTACAGTTACCCAGTTACCAGTCTGCCACAAGTTGGAGAGGGTCGATT